TTCTAGAATAGTATTACGGCAAATTTGGAGTAAATATTAACAAGAACGTCGTAAGACAAACTCCCCTGATATGCATTCAACTGTACCTACCTGAAAAATGGTCAATAATCCACGCCGACAAGTCAATAAATAATCCTATTATTCTGAAAATAAAAACCTCCGAGTTTGCCTAAATGTCAACTTCATTCAAATTCAGCAGAAGTTGGAGTCAAATTTTCGGATTTTCGGAAGGCATAATACAAGTCTATCTCCCTTTTCTCAGGGTACATAATAAGATTAGGATCACGCAGCGTTACAGAGGTCGTACTCTGAGATTTGACTTCTGGCGTACGACCTTCTTCTTCCTGTTACACCACTTTGCATAACAGCGAGCTAATTACCCTAATTCCAGCGTGGTAGCAGCAGCGGCAAGGTCGCTCACTGCTGAAATATATTGGCGCGAGGGCTTTCTGTTGTTGGCATGGGGCTTACGTAACCTTTTACTTTCCCTTTTGGCCAAAAATGTCGAGGGCCAGACGAAGAAGAAGGAGAAGAAAAAGAAGAAGAAAGTATTATATATCCTTCGCCTCGGAACAAAGTAACAAAGAAAAAAAAAGACTGAGAACGGAAGAGAAACGAAAATGGCTCTTTTCCTTCCGCGACGTTGTCTCTGTGGATTTTTCTTCCTGCGCGTCTTGTCTTCGTGACATGCAAAATCGGCTTTCGAGGGATGCGCACAGAAAAGACTACTGTGGGAAACGGTCAGGGGTCGTGCCGTAAGATTTTCAACGCGATACTCGAAAAACTGTTTTAGACGCATGCTTATTTCATGCAAAATCCGCGCGCGTTTCCATTGTGTGCAGTTGCGATTTACAATATCTTGATGTCGTGCAGTTTCGTATATATACAGAAAAAACGAAAGATGTACGGGAATCGAAGAGAGACACGTCTTCATTATAACATCCGATGGGTAGAGATTATCATCGAGAAAGAGAGAAAGAGAGGGACACAACGTCAGTCACGCGTTACGCTACGACGGCGATGCAAATGTAAGAGCATTGATTTAACGTCGATTATATATATATATATATATATATATATATATACATGTACGGAACCCTTAAATGGGCCTTGGAGATAGTATTGTCTATGCTTGGCTTGATTGAACTCAAAGTTAGCTTTACTTTTTTTAACCTTGCCAATGAAAGTAATTGAGTTGTAGATTTTTGTGGGCTTAGGCAGAGAAGAAAGATCATTGGGATTACAGCTTGGAGAATTAATGTTCTATCGAAAGATACTCTAGTTACGTTGTATCTGATCGATGCATCTTTCCTTCCATCATTACGGGGGCTTTCTTTTTTGTCCTTTTATTGATTGCGACAGGATCCCAATAAACATATTTTTTATGGCCTTTCCGGTGTATACTTATGAGTGTGGAGGTAGTTTTTGTCTGAATGCGAGCTACTTAAGAGCATGATATAGATGCTAATGTATTGGAATATTGGTTAGAGGAAGATATTTTCAGCTGAATTTGTTGAAAATGTGCTTGATCGAACGGGCAATCAATGTCGTGATTAATGCTCGTGCCTTTATCTTAAGCAGCCTTGAGACTGTCTTGATTTTTTGTCACTGATTTGAATGATGGTCTCAAGTCTCTTGGAATTTGGTATTGATGGGTCGTTTGGATCGCTTATTCAAAGCTTAAGCTAATCCGTCAGAATCGTCCTGCTCTTGGACTATTAACGAATATGCTGGTTCTATTCCTCTTGCTCTCCATTACTTCATCGTGCAAGCCACAGAGCGCAAACTCAAACGCAAACTCAAACGCAAAACCCAGGCAGTGCTAGGAAACCCTCAAAACCGGCAAAATAGCGGCGCTCGCGACTCAGCCTGAAGAGTATACTCGTATATAAGCCTGGTAAACTTGATCGTTTTACTTGCTATTTAAAAAAGAGAATGTCGAGCTGCAAGCAAACGAATCTGAGCGTAGCAACCAGAGAAGATGGTAAGATTCAAGAAGCGTGACTTACAAAAGGAATTGAAGCTTACCATCCATGACATTGACTCATTGAAATTTTTTCGAGCAGCAGCAACGTTGTCATTAGCGCACAGACAGGTGAATAGTGTGGCCCTCTTCAAGATCGTACTTTCTAAAGTGATTCACTGGACAAGTTGTGTGCGCGCATAAGCGAAGCGCGCGCCTGAAGTGTAAGGTCATTACGTCAGGCCGGCAAGCGATATATAACAAGTCGGCACGGCAAAGATGGCGCGTAGACATAACCGTGAACTTGAGAACTGAAAGGGCGTGGAAAAATCTCTCACGGGCCGGGATAGAAAAAATGGCATGCGCACACACAGGCGCTTGTAATAAGGAGGTGCGCGTTGCGTGTGCTCGACTGCAGATGCTCCGGCACCTGCTGAAAGCGATTAATAGACAATGGCTTGCGTGGCGCGTAACGAAGAAAGAGGAAAAAAGGACTAAAGCAGCGCGAGCGCCGGCAATGAGGCGTGAGCGCGCGCGCTCGGATGCATTATTCATGAGCAGGCGAGCAGGCAGCGAGTGATGCGTGATGCAACGCGCGGCGCGGAGCGAGGGCGCGCGAGAAATGTAGGTAAAGCGCGATTTTTACCGTTGCGAGTGCGCAGCCCCTAATGAAAATGCGCTCTATTACAATGTTTCTCCGGTGGCGAGCTCGGCAATCTCCTCTACGAACAAGCAGAACAAGAAGGAGGCGAAGAGGAGAGAGCCGGGCCGGGTATAATGATGCCGCCGCAGCCGCCGCCGCCGCCGCCGCCGCCACTCGGCTGCCCGGGCAACGCTCCCACGAGCCGCTGGGGCCAACTAACGGTCCGACCCTCCACCACAACCAGCATCTTCGAGTGTGTACCGGCTTTGTCCCTCTCGCTTGCTCGCTTCGCTTGCCGTGTTCGTGTGCTTCGTTTTATTCCCCGCCGGAGAGGCTGCGTGTGTGAAGCCTTTTTCTTCTTCTGTGCTACAGCCACCGCGACGGCGACGAGCAACGCGCGCGCGATGACAAAGTCGAGAAACTTGTATTATACGTGCCAGAGATTCGTGTGCCGCGTCACGCAATCTAACGCGAAGCGCGAAGAATCTTGTCTTCTTAATTTATTAATGCCATCGCTTCTCATTTCTTGCTTTGCTGTGAAAGTTTCGCAAGCGATGCACGCATGTCGTTGAACATTTTTTCACCAACTAAACTTTGATGAAGTGAAAAACGACAAGGGCTCCGTGATGCAATGGCTTTCGAAGCAAGATTTATCGCAAAAGCTGAATAAACAATATCTGTTGAACTATTGTTAGCGTAAACAGAACATTGTTACATGTCTTACTACATACATTTTATATTCATTAATCAAGTGACAATTGTAATCTAGAGCGCGATGCATGCAACAAATCTTCTGTTTTATTCGCATTTTCTATGTTGTAATCTATCGAGATCAATGAGATTAAATACCTTATATCAAATAGTTTTCTAAGTACTAAATTCATTATTTACAAGGAAAATACAGTTTTGTTTGTATTGCTATTAGAATCGTACAATTTTCAGAAAAATACAGTGAATAAAATTATATGTTTGCCAACTAAAAATTCCTTTGATACTGATTATAAAATATGTCTATAATCACACGATTAAAAATGTAAAAGATAAATCAAAAACAAATTTTTTACAGGCTAAACTTAAATCGAGGCTCGAATAAGACGCACTATTCCGTTTGACAAATGCCATTATTATAGGCAAAGCTAATCCGAAACAAATCATCGTTCCACACGAGAAAAAAAATCCATTTTATGAACAGCGTATTGTACCACATGAATTTTTATAAGTAATCTGCAAAAGGGTCCTTCGTTTTTTAATAGCGCGATGTGGCAACGATGACGAAGGGAGAGAAGAAGTCTTCGAGATAAGTATAATTTACGCATCCGAGGATTTCTCGTTGCTCTTTTCGTCAGGTGCGCCGAAATCTTTTTTCTCTGCGAGAGAGAATTCAGCACGCACCTTCCTCTTTTTTCTCTCGCTGCTCGCATGAAAGAAAAATGGTAATTCCGAAACAAGTGGAGCCACGCAATGAATGAATAGAGCTCTGCGGTAAGTTTTTCTAGGGCCTATGAGCGTTTTGTGCACGTCATTTCGGGGTTGGGTTGGGTTGGGTTTTCAAGCATGTAATTATTACGGTACTTCTATATTAGGAATGGTGAGTATATATATATATATATGAATGTTTTTTCTTCTTTGTTTTTTTCCGTCTTATATCCTGTGTACAAAATGTATATTCTCCAAACAATTATCTTCCATAAGCGTTCAGAGAACATCTCACCCTTGGAATTTCGGTGCGAGTTGAAATACCGCGCTTTTTTAAATTTAAAACTCTTTCATATAATATATATATAAAATGCGAAACTTATAACTTTTGGAATATTACGCGGGCGCTCCGTTCGAAATGTTCAAGATAAAAAAGTACTTCTCGTTTGATTATATTGTCAAATGAAAAGAAACATCACCGAAAAGAAAAAAGCGAGTTTAATGACTGAAGCATAAAATCACACACGTTTTAATATTTCACGTACGCTCGTAAACGTATGAGCAATAAAAATAGTGTTTCAGCAGCAAAGCCCTTAGAAAAACTACTGATTCTCAATAATCTGCCTCTTGAAAATGCTGCCCATGCCCAATTGTCTTTCGAAAAGCAGCTTCGCGCAATTATCGAACGTGGCCAAGAAAAATTTACAGCCTCGGCGTTTGAAAAGGAAAAACAGGCGTGGTAGCCGAACCGCAAAAACACAGCCTAGCGAAAAAAGCCTGGTGTAAAAAGCGTACGTTCGCGTGGCAATTTGCACGCAGAAGAGAGAGAAAACGAGAGAGCCCTAGCGATCGTAAAACGCGGGCGGCATGTTGGTCGTTACGTGATATATTACGCGGGCCTCGTAAATAACGGCGACCTTGAGTCAGGTCAGAGTTACTTCGTCTCATTCCCCGCGTTGTAGTTGCGCGCGGGTGAAAGTGTGTCCACGCTTACTATTGTAAATTTTCAAGAATACAAGGTAAATCACGTGTGCCGCTTGCGCGCGAAAAGCTCGTTGGCAGCCGGCCGATCTTTTATTACGGTATCGATCGAAAATCCATTTTTCTGTCCTCTCTTCCCACCGCTTAACGAGAATGATACGATTGCCTCTCTCGGAGGGATTGCAATTAACGAACCAAGCTGCCTGCGGTGCTCTCTCGGCTTTCATGAATTTTTCATTAATATCGGGGTGAGTGTTGGGCCGCCGCCGCGGTTTTCGATTTATTAAGCTAAGTCGGTATGCGTTTGTGTGCGTACAAGTCAAACAAGATTTATGCTAAATGCAAACATTGAGGATGAGTGGGTTATGTACTTGTGCCGAGCTCGTAGAATTTCCAAATACTACCTTGTGTTTTCAATCAACTGCTGCTGAAATTGTGAAGAACTCTAACCTTAAATATTAAACAAAGTAAACGTACGGCAGTGAAAGATTTTTCTAATATTTTTAACGTCTTTAAAAAAAAAAAATGATCCACATACACGAAATTCCCGCGCTCGAGAATACGTAGTATAAATGTTCTCGTTTTTTCTTTGCTCTTGATAATCGACATTCAACACCACACGCATTATCGCTAAAAATGAGCCGACTTGCTAACGCTGTTTCTATGAATGTTCTTGTTTACTAATCTCGCGGCTCTACTCTTTTAGCTGGCAATCTAGTAGTGTCGGTAGTTCGGTGACGCTGCACATAACGTGTTCAGACGCGCGAGTGTTCAGATTTTTGTTTCTTTCCACATTGTTCCTTTGTGCTCAAAAAGTTCATTGTACCTCCTACTGTGTGTGGTTTTTAAAGTCTTGTAAAGTATTTAAGAGTTGAATTCAGTTTTGGTTATTGTTATCTTTTAAAATGGTACGACCCGAAACGTGTAGCTACTTGCTCGACTGTTGAAGAACTCGTTAAATCAGATAAATACACATCGACCTCCTGTGTGCAAAATGTCAGTTTACTTGGGCAATAAAGCATCATCCTCATCTTCGAGTAGCAGTAGCACCAGTTGCAGTACTAGCAGCTTAGGGTCGACGGGATGTTTTTCGGAAACGAGTTTCAGCTCGTTGAGTACTATTATCGCACCTCAAGCTGGCGTCAAACCGTGAGTACATAATAATTTTGACACTTGCATCACGACACGACGTGCTCGAGTATTTTTATTCAGACAGCAGTCAGCACGTGCTACGAGATATAAAAAGAGCGTATAGTACCCGCGCGTACATTTTTTTTGGGTGACCCAAATACCGACTACCGTATGCGATTTGCAATTCAATTTTTTTACTTCTATGTCAATTTAGTGTTGCTCGAGGATAAATATTTAATTTTGGCACAATTTATTTTTTTAAATATTCAATATTAAAGTATCCATGGATATAGTATTTAAGTTTTGTTTAGTTACGTTTTATTACTTGTGTAAATTTCTACAGTATACGTTTGCTATTTTATTTGTGTAGTCACTCTAAAAATTTTTTTATTACTCATTTTACGTGATAGTTATTAAAAAAGTGTGATTTTTATGAGTCATTACTATAAAAGTTTTGACAATCTATAGTAAAGTAGATAACTATCTAAAAATATTATATATATAGATTTGGAGATCCTGATTATAATTATTTTTGGATTCAAAATCAGTCGAAGACTAATCCAAAAGCTTCATACTACTATAACTACAAAAGCCACAGTGTTGTTTGGAGTAGGCCTCTGCCGAAAACTGTTCCTCTTCCTCTTTATTCAACTGCATGGGTTAGTATTTCTGCTTTTTGAAAAAAGATATTTTTCAATGAAATTGTAATTTTAATTTAATTACTTTTAGGTTCCTCAGCCAAAAAATATATCAGAGGGTGAAGAAGAGGTAATTGTTTCAGATCCTGAAGATGCTTTTCAAAAACAAAGAAGACTGCAAATAAAACAGAGAAATAGACGGCTAGCATCAGAAAATAGATCTGGAACTATATATGTACTTTCTGTTGATAATGCAGTGAAAAGTAAAAAAAAACTTGATGTTCTTTGGAAATTGTATAGATTGCCTGGTGAAAGTGTCGAAGATGTTAAGAACCGATTACTGATGCCTATAGAAAGTGAAGTTCAAATAAAAACTGAAGTTTTATCTAATGAAGATGAAAACAGTAATACTGAAGATATTTCAGTTATTAATATAAAGGAAGAGCCTAATACTTATGATGATTATTCTTTGGAGGTTCAAGAAGCTAGTCAAAGTATTAATGAGCTAGAAAATCATTCTGATTCTGATCCAGATAATGTTGATTTCTTGATCCAGCAAGATTATAATGTTGCAAATAGTTATGATTCTGAATTGGAACATGATAGTTACAATGAAAATGATTCTTGTGATAGTAGCCAGAAAGAAGAAAGTTCAGATAATGAAAAAGAGGAGTCTTCCTGGGACTCTAATGATGAGTCAATGGATGAACTCGAAAAATGGAGACAAGAAGTTAAGAATTCTTTTAATAAGCAATCATTAAGGGAATTGCAAAATGATACCATAATAGAACCTATTATTGAAAACTGCAATTCAGAAGAGCCAGAGGTGATTAATGATTTCGTTAATAACTTTTTGTTATCAGACATGCTTGAAATAGAAATTGATGAGAATGAGAAAGAAAATATGTTTGTAGAATTTAATAATACAGCAGAGAATGATAAATGGGAAGAAGTAAACTGGAATTTTGAAAAATCATCAGAATCTGTTATAAACTCGTTGTTGACTCGAGAAGCGTTAAATCCTATGTTCAAAGTATCGAAGTCTAGACCATTTCAAAGTAAGCAGAAAAATAAGATACTAACAAAAAGAACACTTGTTGAGACGAGACGAGTACCAAAACTAATAATCAAGAAAGAGCCTTATTACCATATCAAGCAAGAGTCAGACACCGCTATCAGTAAACCACTCGTCTATGACATGTATGGCACTCGCACGACCAATTACGATTACTTTCCACAATCAAAAGAATCTCCTTTGCAAAATGACATTGTTGCAAGCGATAGTAGCAATGAAGAATCGGTCATAGAAACTATCGCTCAAAGAATCAAAAATGTACCTCGTCGTGCGTCACAAAACGACGAAAAAAAGATGAATGGAAACCAGGATGCGCTGGAGCTGAAAAATTGGTTTCCCAAGAGTGAACTGGACAGCCGCAAAAGAAAAAAGTCCGATGACGAGTGGTTGGTACCATCAGATTTATCGTCTAATTCGGACTTGGACGAAAGCGATATTAAGGTGCTGAGGAGAAAACGAAAAAAAATAAGATCCAGCATCGATGAGCAAGAATGCCAGCCTGCATCAACAACGTCGGGCAACAGCAAGCAACAGCAGCAGGCATTGACCTTAGCAATGGACCTAAGTACAGCGAAAGTCGAGTCGTATTCCTTACAGAAAGATCTGATCGAATTCACGCAAGAGGGAGGCTTCACGATGAAAACGCAAGAGAAGGAGAAGAAGGATGTCGTGCAGAACGAAAAACCAAAGGAAGAAGAGAACGATGCTACTACGGATTCTGAGTCTGACTCAAGTTCGTGCTGCTCGCGACCCTCATGCTCGTGCTCCTCGTCTTCAAGTTCCTCTAGTTCGAGCGACGATGAGAATGATAAACAGGCGAAATAGCAAGATTTGTAGTTACTATGTTCTTTCTTTTTTTATTTTTTCGTTCTCGTAAAAATGTCGGTGCTTAGGTCATTTTGTTACTAATTTTGTTAATTTCGTTTAGCATAATTAACATTATATTTATTTAATATTATTTTTTTGTATTAAGTACTAGTCTGGTTCTAAATAATTTTAAAAATTATGGATAAAACTAACATGTTGAATTATTGTTGAATATTTAGTTTAATTTCTTTTACAGTTGTAAGAACAAGAACTGGTGAACCTTTATTTTCATTCGAGAAAACTCGATATAGTATACTTTTAAATCAACGATGACTACATTTTTACAGTAAGTATTTTTCTACGTATTATTTATTTATTTATTATTCATTTCCAGTTGAATTGTTAATGTAAATCCTGGCGTAGCATTACATTGTAATAAATGTAGAAAAGTATATTATGATGAAATCTCATTGAATATAAGCGTGCGTATATCTTTAACTTAGACAATGTGATACCGAATGAAGCGCGAGTGCGCAGGTGCATTATCGTTCCGCTTTTGGAACAGTATATAAAAGCTATATAATTCATTCGTTGTAACTCACGGTGGCGATGAATCTAAGCAAGCAAAAGCTTGCGCGTGCGACACACGCGCAACTTCCTGCGCGTTAAATAATAATTCTTTTGTTATACGCGACTTCCGTGTGTCAATTAAGAGTCACTGAGATTTGGTCACAAAAAATGTAATCGAAGTCTCTCCCACCATATATCAATCAATAAGAGCAACGATTTAAAGTCTCATTAAAGTCAGTTGACCAACTTCACGCGAGTGAGTGAGAGAGAGACAGCGAGAAAGAGACGGGGGGGGGGGGGGGACAAAGAGACAGATAGGCAGATAAATAGACAGACAGGCAGAGCACAGGATTGTTAGCAACCTCCATTACATAGGCATTTTTATCATTTGTGCGTGCTATATGCAGCAGCAGCAGTAGAACGCATACTGAACACCAGGATGGCATCTGGCAGACGTTACCTTCTAAGCGGAAAAGGATTGTTCTTACCTGCGCAATTGAGTCGACGAGTAATCGTGCCACACGATGGGTAAAGGTAAGTGAAGGTGCTCGCGATTAGTTTTAGGAAACTTTGATCAAAGCAAACTCTCGGGTGTGTGCACACAGGAAATTGCAAGTGGTTATTACAAGGGTTAGGTACCGCCACGAAAAAAACGTGAAGTACGAGAGCAATGTGAAGTGTGCACATGTCGCTGTACCTTCTGCGCTCCAAAAAATTAGAACTCTTGCTCGCCTTGCCGAGTAATTGCAAGTTGCGCGCAAGTTCAACGGCTCGCGCGTTGAGTCCTAATTCGCTAATTAACGTATTGAATTCGCGCGTAATCGCTATGGGAGTCCTTACGCCGTATAGATAAGTATCGCCGCCGTAGCAGTTCTCTTCTTCTACACTAACTTGGCCGTGAACTCTGGCCCGTGGGAGGATTTTTCTCGGAAGCGAAACTGCGCGTGGTGAGGAGTGAGCGAGAGAACGGCTAATGCTTTTGCCGAGCCTACCTACCTGCTTGCCTGCCTGCCTGCGTGCCTGCCTGCCTTTTGTGGGGAAAAACGGCCTGTTTTAAAGGTGGCAAGTGAGGGATCGTTCTTCAGATGGAGAGGTTCCCAACGTTCTGTAGTATTGCGCGTGATAGTAAGCTATAGGCTGCTCTGTATGTATAACTATACGAAAGATTTATCTTATATATAAAATAGTGAGATGTGATGTTAGCAACACGCGCTCCCTTCAAGTTAGCTAGTAAATATGCCAAAGGCCTAGTCCCTATTTTTACAACTTTCACCTTCAAAACTATTCTACGCCATAGTAAATTGTCATTTAAAAACAAACATTTCAATGTTAAATCTATAGTAAATGTAGATTAAAATTTAAACAGAAATTGTATAATCTTGGAGAACATTTTCTGTACACTAAACATATCTTGACTTTAATTAAATTTTAAATGATTAATTGTTAAGTAAACATTGACTTTTTTAGCAGAAATTTTTTCTCAATTATGCAAACAATTAAACTATATTCAAATTTCTCATTGCATTGTAAAAATATTGCTTATGTACATTCACTCAAATCTAAACTTGTTTTTCAACCATTTATTTTACAGCAGCTTATTAATGATTATACATTGAATTGCTTTTTAATCGTCCATTTTTATTATCCAGGGCTGCTGTAGCATTCTCAGGCAAGTATGTCTAAGACTGGCACTATAATATATCCATACAACCTATATCTAAAGAATACGTTTGCCCACTACTTGTCTTTGACGACTTTTTAATGTTTACTTTGACAAATTATGTCACATCCTTTGTTTTTAGACATATTACTATACTTATTTAATCAGTTTGTAGGTAAAATATTGTGTTTTTAAAGTTCAATTGTTTGTTTTTCTAACAATAACTTGATTTTGTCATCTGTAAAAACCTCAAAATCATTATCAATATAGTAATAGTAATAAACAATAATGTAGAATAATCATTCTGGATAATTGTAGTTGAAAAGATCGTTGAAATAACAGTTTTCAATGTGATAAATTATAAAGTTCAAATATATGAAATATAAATATTTTGTAAATAAACTAATTTTCCGATTGCAAACTTTAACTGACTAATGACGTAAATATATGTATTAACATTAAGTAAAATAACAAGTAATTAGTCAAATAATTATTTTGTACGAAAAAGATAGATTAATTTGAATTTTCAACTCTAAAATCTTAGCTAATAATCAATTTTAAGTATGTTTTCATTTTTTTTAACCGTAAAAGGTCATCTAAAGTTTGCTGTTTATAATATTAAGTTATCAATAAGATTACACATCAGTAAATATTTTAGGAAGTAATATTATTTAACAATTTTTTCTATATTAATATATTTAACACTATGAAATAATTTTCTTACTTCTTCCGAACTCTAGTTGATTATATATTTATTTATTTAATATTCAAAGTTGACAGTTCTAAAATTTTTAAATTATATAATCATATATATATTTCATCGCGTACTGGAGTATTTCAATTCGTTTGCAAAACTGTTGGTTTATAAACAGCCCATAAGTTAATATAAAAAAATGAAAAAGGTGGCATAATCTAGTCTTACAGCTAGTCTTCTAGTCTTCTAGTCTTCTAGTCTTCTAGTATCTTAAAAAAATGATAAATCACCGACATTCAGCGTTATAGTTGGTTGATACTAAAAGAGAGCGTGAAATTTTTAATTTTCATATACTTATTTTTATTATATGTTGGAGTGTGAGATTCATATTTCAACTGTAAATTTAATTTATAAATAATTAATATAGGTAATAAACTGTAAGAATGGAAATATGCTGTTAATAAATCGGTTTGAGAACATAATACGTTATGTTTTGAAATTATCAGTACAAATCGTTAGTTTATAACCATACCTGATACTGAAATCAATATCGTTGTGTTAAAATTTGATAGAAAGAGAAAGAAAATAAATAGAATAAAATAAAATAGAGGAGAATACACATTTATCTTTTGTACATTGTAAATTAAAACGAACGCAAACAACAGAAACTAATTATCAGAATATTAAACCTGTAAGAATATTTACGGGTGTTTCATAGAAGCAATAAAAAGTAAACGATGTTAAATGTATTACTTATACTAATTTAAAATTGGAGCCATAATCACTACTATTGAATATGTAAGTTTAGTGTTGTATAATAGTATATTAGCTTTATCAATCTTAGGTTGAATTAATTTTTTGAAAAATTTTTTCGATATATCTTGAAATGAGTAAAAGTTCCTCGGGTTTTGTGAAAATATGCAAGTTCTGTTATTCATCAGTGAATATTATTGACGTATGTAATCTATTTTACACATTATAACTTACTCGTACTCATGAGAATCTCCCAATTGGCATGTTAAAAGTGCAAATAATATAATAAATAATAGAAACACACAAAAAATAGCGTGGAAAGCGCGCTAAATAATACTGCCAGGTTAAACTCTTCATTTACAGATCAGAAAATTTCTCCTTTATTTTTATTTTATTTCATATTTTTTCTAACAATAAAATTAGCCATTGATATTTATTTTTATATAAATCATTATTTATTTAATAACAGTATCCATGATTATTACAATTCACTACAATCAGTTTCATGTTATTTTTTTTTTGGTAAAACAATTATTTTTGGATTTTATTACTTATTTTTAATTTCTTTTTCATTTTTATTTTTGAGAATAAATAAGATTAAGGTGGTCTTGTGGTTCATCTATCCTCACCAGATGGTGTCGGCCATCTATAAGCGGCAGGAAATTCGCTTTTTGAATATATAAATCCACATATATAGCGATTCGAACATTCCGAGCATATGAGGTACGTGTTATCGACCGTCGATCTTCACTGACGAGTTCAGTCGGTAACATCGAGATGAAACACTTCTGTCTTACCAATCTCTCATTCTACCTCACCTTATGAGTGTGTGCCGGGCTATATATGCTCGCATTCTTCTAACTTTTACAATCTCTTAATCTTCTCATTTCTTTCTTTTGGTTCCGTTTTATTTCTTCTGCATAACCACAAGGTCCTTGTCTGATTCATTTGAAAATGTAAGACAAGGTACGTATTTGTATGATAAGAAGCAGATATGGAAAAAGTATAGATTATAGATTTTTAATGTGTTGTAAAAAAAACCGAAGTTGAATCGCATGAATCTACGTTGCGAATACACCTAATGTGTAAGATATGCAGTAGATGGCGACAGTATAAAGGGGCGCGATTTTCTTGCAGTTGCATCTTCCTATTATTTCTGGATACCTATCGTTACTTCCAGATTTATTTTCCTGTAGTTAAAACCATATTAATTAAAAAGTCGTTTATCTCAATATCTCATATATATAAGAAGTTACAAAGTGGACAGTAAATTTAGATTTTTACTTAAATTGAAGATCATCCGTTAACTCTAATAAGTTAATGTCTTTGTAAATTTTTAACTTAAAATTTAATTATGTTCATATTAGTTTGATAACATGAAGATAATAATAAAAGTTTTTTATAATAAAAAAAATGAAGTTGGTTTTTATACTTTGCGAGCGTTTTCTTCTTTACCATCTTACGCTAACTTTTCGATGGTTGGTATGAAAGAA